GCGACGCTTCTTGGACAGCGGCGAGCTGGACATCTGTCATTAAAGGCAAAAACGGCATGCTGAGGTATGTTGTCGATTAGCACTTTCCCTTCACTAATCTAGCTAAATTAATTTGCTCACAATGTATATAATAATAGAATTTAAGTATGGGAACAATTAAATAACTAAAGCAAAAATGTGCGCATGTTTACATTTTTTGGGGACATTTTCAAAAGACAATAGATTCAAATTGATATCAGTAAGATATAGTGCTCATAATTCATTGCTATGGTTCCAATAATGAGTATTCAAGCTAGATGCTACCCAATCCCCTTCATGTTGAGGAGAGAGGATTTTTAGTCTAGAGAGCAGCTGGGCTGGCTGCAGGCCAAACACAAATCTGCTAGAAAACGAACTGAGCCTGGGAAGAGACATGAATAGCAGCATTATCAGTTCTTTTCACGCTCAGAGACAACACGGGTTTGTTTATGTACTTCCATTGTTTATTATACCGGTATTTAAGGACCGCCAACATCGTTTCAACAAAAACAGCTGAATCATTAAAAGTTCACTGCGGTAAAGTGAGCAATACCTCATACTGGCTCGCAGGTGTGGACACAAGAGCCACACTGTGCTGCTCGAACTATACTTGGTAGGAAGATATAAAAAGGACGTGCTGATTTGCAATAGTCATCTATATATATACACAAAAGATTATAAAAAAATCCAAACATACCGCGATTACCCAAAAAATACGGACCAACCAAGCCTAGTTGGGAAGTGAAAAAGGCCGCAGTGTGTCGAACATACTGTGAACCGTACAGCGAACATTAACAGCCACAGTTTCCGCATCAAATGCAGCTAACTTGCCTGCGTCCGCGAAGCCAGACGAAGCAGTTCAAATCTGGAACTTCAAATCAAAAACAAAACGCCTCAGCCTGGGTCGTACACAAATATAATCGGCTAAAAATAAAAGTTACCTTTTATTGTAACACTGACGGTCGTGTTCGTCAAAAACGAAAATGAAGGCATTGGGCATGATACAGCAAAGCCGCCCGGTAGTTACTGTAGTTTGCAAAAAACCTAATAGAAAACGTTAGCTGCTAACGATCCGTTTAATGCTTTCGCCCGGTAAGAAATGTACATCCAATGTCAGATAACTGCACCGATTGGGAACCGATTAAGCAGGGTTCCTTGCCACTAATTAGTTAAGTGATTTGGCGAGTGGACAAAGACAGAACATTAATAACTTAGAGGCAAGAAAACACCAGCCTGCCAGCTTATCCATTAGCAGCTTGGCCTAGGCCTGCACTACCCTCAGTGCGGAACACAACTTTACAAGCTAGCAGCTGTAGCTATGTTGCAACCTATACGCAAAACAGAGCAACGGGCTCATTTGACAGCTAACTACCGCAGCTCCTTCACCGATACGGCTTCGTGTCTCAACACCAAACCAACACCACCCAACTTTATCGCTCAACATGAGCATTTTAGCGAATGAACGACAAGCCACTTCACTCGTGCTCCATTGATTTCTCATTTCTTACCAATAATCCTTCTCGGTCCCTTCCCAATGCGAACCCGCTCCTCTCCCGCAGTGTGTAGATGTCAGTAGTAACGACGATTGTAAATTCGACGATTTGTACCGAGAAAAGAAACGCGATGCGGGATTAGGATGGTCTGCACTATATTGTCGAGTCACTATGTCGTTGTGCCGAGTCTCTCCTATGTAATTGCGTTGCTGGCTTTCCGACTGCAGACGGGAACAAAACCAAAATGGCAGATGGGGAGAAAGGGGCGGAGGAGCCGTGACGCATGGGCTGAAATATTCAACAGGAAAGGGTGGCTGTGAGCACGCTGCTCAGCCTGGTCCTCAGCCCATTGGCCGCTCAGCCGAAGCCAACGCGCGTTCATCCCGCCCCTTGCTACCAGAAGATGCATGCCATGTATATTACTGTACAATGAACTGCAGGACCTCCAGCAATCCATGTACCTTGCGATTCTAAAAACGGGCCACATCTCACGCAAGTCCATGAAAAGAAACGTTCAAGTGCGACCTATTTTTTTTTTTTCTAATCTTTTCAAAAGAAATGGCGACTAAACGCCAGTCTGCCGGTGCTGAATGGAATCCATCAATAACAGTACCTTTGTTTCAGTGACAGCTTAGCGAGAAGTCGTGGCGTTGTGGTGCTGGACTGCATGCACAAAGCTTACACCAAAAGTGCCACAATGCGTTATTACAAGAAATGCCACATCTTAAGAGTACAACCGATCTGGATGTATTCACACTGTAACACCATGAGGTCTATTGGGGTTAGGACATTACTATGCTTTTCCCGAGTTCAGCTATTATCACGAGTACAAGTGTGATAGTGCTGCAGTGATGAATGAGACAGGTACAACATTAGGTACGCTACTTGCTAGCTAAAGTGATGCTGAGCGTCTGGGCCTTCAGTCACATTGAGGTTAGGGGTGAGCATTCCTTGCAGAGGAGTATTGGGGGAGGGGGTGCCTGGCAAATGACAAAGGCCCAGGAAAAGAGTGGGCCGCATATATCGACGGGATCCCCTATTCTCGTCTTCTTAGTATAAAATGATAAAAACATAATTTCCATCCTTTCCATCGGAGCTGAAACGTGTGAATATCAATAATGTCATACTACCAGGCTGCCCAAGTTGACAAGCTTAACAGAGACTAGCCAATATTACGTTACTGTGGTAACACCGATAACCGTGCTATCGTAACGTTAATCTAACAAACTCCATGGAGAAAGAAGAAATATCGCCAGCAGGTTCTACATTCCGTGATGCAAGTTAGCTACTATATGCCCCCTCAACATAGCATTAAATTATTGTTTGCAGCAACTAGCTATCCAGCTACCATTTACGTTATTTATCACAACATTTATCAACACAGCACTCTCGTGCTCATAAAACGTGCAAATGCTAATTTAACATTAACAGTTACGTGACAGTGTCTTGTTAGCGACCGCTAGCCGTGCGGAGAGCTGAGATGGTTCAGTTAGCCGACGGCAACTAACGTTAACGACAACCAACAACGCAGATCAAAAGACTGCGTAGTTGTTAGCTTGACTGTGGCTAGCTTTCAAGCTATCTAGCCACCCAACGACTTTTTCCCTTCTTGTGCCGCTGTTAGCTAACTAGCTAACATTAGCCAACTAGCTGGGGCTAACATTATCAAGAAGAGAGCTTACACAAGTGTTCACAACTTACCACATCCGATATTACTCGGCCTGATCTGTAGTATTAAAAATCGGCTCCTGTTTAAGCAAGAAACCTAACAAACAACGTGACAACTCAAGACTGCCGTTGACTGCAAACTGAAAAGTGTGTCAGGGTGGCGGGCTCTGTGTGAGTTTTTCCGCTGGACGGCTGCCTGCCCGGCTGTTCCCGAACCGTTTCCCCTCACTCTATTTCAGTTGAAAGCAAAGCAAAGCAGCAACATGTGCACGTTACAGGCACAACCATCATTCTGGTCCAAAGGGTTAACCGAAAACACGAATCTGATTGATTTGTACCGAGAACATTTTTTAAATTCATCATCAGTGTGACCCATGCCATTTACAAGATAAAGTGTATCATATTTTACACTGCTGCGTAGTTTATTTGTATGCTAACAGTTTAGAACCAGGACTATTTTTCGCCCCCTGCCCAGTTTTCAATTATGGACTGACCCGAAATGCACGCACTGCCTTATGGGACTTGTATGCATTGTGCCTCTGAGAATTCATTGGATAACAGTTTGTCCAGCACAAACAGAAAAAAACACACAGTTGAAGTACAATCATCTAAAAGAGACTTAAAAGACGAAACGGGTTTTGGAGGTTACCAACTCACATTCAAAGATTCTTAACCAACGACACTCAAGATGTAGTTAAAGTTTTTACTTTTATTGAAAGACTTGCAAACAGAGCACAGTTTACATAGGGACAGAATAGTGGAGGTCTAGACTTGTTCAGGAGAAAAGCACAGTACCTGGTTTTACATACACCCAAAAGCAGAATGAAATTCAAAAGGACATTTTTTTGTGATTAAAAAGGAGCAAATAGACAGGACTGTCCAATTAACAGTAGGCCTACCAAATAAATATGCCAACAAAACTGGAGAGAAATGAAAACAAACCTTTTGGAGACATTTTTGGAGAACTTTTAAAAAGGAAGAAAATGTATGTGTATGTTATTGCAAAGCCTTTGTACAATATCTTGCATCTTAGATTTCCCCCCCGGCTCTCTGACAGATGTGGAGCAACTCACAAGACTTTGAATAATAATTCAAGTTTAAATACACCATATAATAAAACAAATCTCAATGTCCAGCAGCCAGTGGAATGGGTTGATCAGTTCAGTTTCACAAAAGTCTGTACAACTGTGACTCCAAGCCTCACAATAGACTGAATAGTTACATAAATAAAAAGGAACTAAAAATAATGAAATGGGATCAGCTGCTCTTAAAAAAAGAAAAGAAAAAAAAAGTAGATGTCCTTTTGTATGTGAGGAAGTTTATAATGTAGGAGAAAAGAATAAGGAACCTAGTTTGTTGTATATATTTACAGTTAGGGAATTCAAATCAACCCTTGCTCAGCTGTTATCTCTAATAGTCAAGAGATGTACCACACTGATTTCCTACTTGTGTAGATTCATAATTTTGTGCAGAGTGTTTGGATTCCAGTATGAGGTGGTTTTGTGGTGAACATTTAGGCACACAGTCTAGATTTGAAATATAAACAAGCTTTTGAGATCTAGCATTCAGAGAGATGCAGAAAATCACTTCCCCTAGACTCTGGTCATGAGAGCGTCTGAATGCCATAGGGGGAATTTCTCCTAAACAGTCAACTCATATGAACACACAGCCAAACCAGAAAACACTGTATGGTTACTTGTCTTGTGGGGAGCGAGTGGATGATAGTTCTCGGTGAGACAGTCATTAAACCATCAAGTTTAAATGATAAAATCCAGCGTTCCGGGTGTTTTTGCGTTTGTGTATGCATCATGCGCACTTGCTTCATAGCCCCCTACCCATCCCAGGTCTGGATGGCTGGCTGGAATGAGCAGCACCCCTTTGTCCATCCCTGTCTTCCTGCTCTCCCACAGCCTGGGGTGAGGTTTGCGTGGGCGGAGAGGGTGGGGGATAGGAAGGGGGAGGGATAGTAAGGCGGGGGAGAGAGGGCAGTGCAGGTCTGGGAGAGGTGGGAAGTGGCGGAGGAGTGGATGAGGTCGTGGCTGAGGATCGCTGTGAGGGGCGTGCACGGGAGGTGGCGGGAGAGGCATGCGTGCTTCGGGCACGTGGTGGTTCGGCAGGGCAGTCACTGATTTGCTCCAGCAGCGAGGGCATGTCTCCTTCGATCTTCTCCAGCACGGCAGCCATTTGCTTTTCTATCTGCTCGATCACACTGTCCATTTGCCAGTCGCTCGTAGTGCTGCTCCCCCCTCCTCCGTGCGGCAGCCCAGTCCCGTACATCCCCATCCCTCCTCCAGTCGTGTACAGCGTACTGTATGGACTCCCGTAGCCCCCTGCAATCCCCATACCCACTGCACCAACTTCTGGGCTGTATGGTGTAGCATGGCGACCCAAACTTGCAGAGCTGCCCACTGTATAACAACCCTGCCCTGGTGCAGCACCTGCCCTGGCTAAGCTAAACTCAGCGCTGTGTCTGTCTGTTCTCCTGGCATCTCTATCCCTTCTACCACTGGGGCTGGCATCGCCCCGTAATCTAACTCCTAGTCCCATATCCACTCCAGCTCCATGACCCAATGCTGGACTGACTGGTACAGCCACTGACCTCTCTGCTACTGCCTCAGGTACTTGTGTTTGACACCAGCTTCCGTCAGTCTCGTCCTTCTGCTCGCTTTGCGTGACTGGTCTCTTCTCTGGTGAGGTTGAAACAATTGCAGACGCTGTTGGTGGAGGACCGTGAAGCGTTGCAGCCATTTTGCGCTTGCTGCTGGGGTCGGGGGAGGCGGATGTGTGTTTTTTGTCAACATTAGTGCCTGATGAACTGTCTAAGAGCTTTGAGGTTTCAGGGCTCTGTTTGGATTCTGAAACAACTTTGTTCTGACCCAAATTGGCAGCCATTTTCCTGGTTCCGTCACCTGCTCCTTTCCTCGCACTGACCTTATCAGGCTCCTCCTGTACAACTTTGGGGGCTGCAGCTGACTGGCCAAGAGGGTCCTGAACATCTGATGGAGAAACTCCTACAGATGGGCCTATCTTTACCTCACCCTGTTTTTCTCCTACCTTAGTTGTCCCCTCATCCTGGTCCACACCTACTGGCGTATTTTCAACAGTAACCTCTAAAGACACACTACTTGACGTCACCCCTCCATCACTTGTCCCTTTATCTCCCTCATCGCTTGTCCCCTGGGAAACACCCCCTTCACCATCTCCTGCCTCGTCACCGCCCTGAGCCTCGGCTGAACTGTCAATCAGTGCCTCTGAATTCTTCAGTCGTTGCATGAAGGTGGTGACACGGATCGCTTTCTGCAAAACAGACATACACAAAGAAAAGCAAGAGAAGGACAGCAGGGGTAAAGAGAATTAGATTAACTGTTGGTTGCATTTTTCACAAACACCTATATTGACTTGTTTTCCTCCTAAAAAGAACTTTGATACCACAGTTGGTTATGGAAAAGCTTCAAAGACAAGCTTTTGACAAAAAGCCTGCCAAGGCAACATGATTTGGCATCATCGTCCTAAGCGCTGAGTGATGTGATTTGTGTGAAGTGGAGAAAGAATAATGCCAGTTGTTTACTTCCAGGAGGCTATGACATATTGTACCCTGGTTTAAATCAATCTCAAGACTCATTCTCCCCAAGAATCTCCTTAACTGCTTGTTGACTGGAAAAGGTAAGTGAACAGATGTGTAAATCTCCTTCTTCAAACGTACATTCATCTGATTCCTTTTGATCTCCAAACACTGAAGGAGTTAGGGAAAATGTGTGAGCTTAGTAGTTGTTTCTAAGCCAGGGCATTGAATTCCCTTGAATTCTCTGGAAGTGAAAAGCCATTTGGACACAGAAATGTCACTGAATACAATATGGCTTATGTGAGCAGGTGTATAGCTTCAAGTATGACTTGGATGTAACAACAGTGTGGGGCAATGAGCCAGGATTCACGTAAGAGGAATGTCAGAGGGCCTGAGAGTTCAAATCACTGCAGTTTAACAGTCCACAGTGGCCTACAACCCTCATATCCTTTCCATTTCTCCCTCTCCTTATCTACACTAAATTAAGTAATCCACAAGTCATGAAAAAAACTTCTTCCCTCTTTCTAATCAATGTCTTGTTGTTTTTTTGTTTTCTTTTTAGCAATCTAGTTTCACAAACTAGTGCAGATGAGGAGGAGGAAAGGAGCAGAGCGGGCCACTTTGAACATCTGGGTTTATATCCAATGAAGAAAAGTGGGGCAGAGTGGATGGATCTCTTCTGGGACAGGCAGAGTGACAGTGGGCAGGAACAGAGCTTGAGAAGAGCTTCGACAGAACTAACATGATCAATACATCTGACGGCTGACTTAGGTTCAACTTGAAATGTTTCCAAATTGGTCAATCGGTGTAGTAGCAGACAAATTCCCCTCTTTGCCATTCAAGAGGATGCTCAGCCATTAGAAAGATGCTGAGTTATTGAGTCATGCCAGACTAAATGTGAGTTTCTCCTCATGCTCTGTCCTTCCACTCTCCCTCATAATGAAAAACAATACCTTCAACTCCTGGGAACCACATGGGAAAAGAGAGAAGAGGGTTATAACTGTTACTTATGCTGTTAGGTCACCGCTGCCATCTTCCTTCGGCTTCGTTTTCAGAATTCACACCCCCTGGATCTCATTACGAACTTCACATGTCATTTGTACACTTAAAGCATACCTCTGCAGAGTTGTGCAATGAGCTACAGCAACACTAAGGCCCTACCCTTCATCCTGTTTCTCCTCCATTTCCTCTGCTGCTCACTCGGTTACGCTACTACGAACTTCATTTACTGCTACAGGAAGAGAGTAGGAGTGAATTCATACCCTCCATTTGGCCTTTGCAAAATTCTTCTCAAACTGAGCACACACACCATCCTTCAGGTTCTTCTCTGATGCACCGTTCCCTGCAATCCTGACACAGATGACAGACAAGCATACAAGTGAATGCAAGTCCCTGCAGATGCATGCAAAAATGTTTGTGCCTTTGTGAATATGTGCACTCAATTACCATTCATGCCAAAGAGCATCTTGTGCTGTGATTCTCAGCATCTGGTCCACTTCCATGAGTCGACAGACAAGCTCTTTAGCTGAAAGAGTGATAAGAAATCAGAACAGTGAAGGGGAAATTTGACAGTCTGATCACGATGGCATTACATATTTTTCTAATTGTTCTGTTGAACAAAGGTTACTGATGGGCAAGGGTATAGTAGGGATTGGAACTGACTGTTTAATGCCATCGTGTGGTGGACTCATGTACCTGCAGGTGAAATGTCATCCCAGTAAGGAGAATCAAACTCAAAGTCTCCAGCAACAATGCGACAGAAGATAATGCGATTGTGTAGATCTGTGTTCTCCTCCTCTGTTTCGTCATAGAAAGGAGGGTTACCTGATAAGCTGCAAAAAAGAAAAAAACACACAAGGGGACAGAAGAAGGGTTGTTATTTTGAGATGATGCAAATAACCTCTGTATGTGTTTTAAAGAAATCAAACGAAGCAGTTTCACATGCAGTTCAGTATTGTCTAATGAGGTTTATATTAACGCTTTTGTAAATGAGTCACTCACAGTATAAACATGATGACACCCACAGCCCAGCAGTCCACAGGACGGCCATATCGGTGACGAGCCACCACTTCGGGAGCTGAGAATGGAGTAGATGCAGAGAGCGTGTAAGTGGCAGACAGATTTAAATGTGCTGGGTTGCCATTTATAAACCATCACACCACATTCATAATTATAAACTGCGAAGACAACCTCCCTTCCAAGACAACCTCCGTTTTTCACTCTCTTTTTTCCTCATCTCTTTTCCATCAGGGCCTCCATCCTCTTTCCTTATTTATTAGTTTAATTACTCAACTCAGCGTTATGAATAACTGTCCTGGCCTTTCACCAGAGAGAACCGGGCCAAAGTACAGCTCTGCACTTCAAGTTGCCCCCGCATGAACCTCAGAGACACAGAGAGGAGCGAGAGAGCACACAGAAGATGAGTGGAGATGAAAAGAGAGGAGGGGCTGTAGGAGGGCAGGAGTTGCATGCTTTTAATTCTGTTTATGTGGTTCTCGGGTTTTTGTTTTGTTTTTTTGTTTTTTTTGACCAGAAGAGTTTATCTCTTCATCATCATTATCATCAAAACACAAGAAAGTAGAGAGTTCAAAAAGGTAAAGCATGCCCCGGGCCCATTCTCACAACAGAAGGTAAAGCTAATGGAAAGATGTAGAAAAAAAAAAAAAGGTAAGAGACACAAAGAAAAAGAAAAGTAAAGTTGAATATTGTTTTAAAAGCCTCACACAGTGGTAAATAGAGAGAAACCTACCCAGATATTCTGGAGTTCCACATGGGTCTGTGATTGGTCCATTCTCAAATCTGGACAGGTAGAAATCTCGCAGAACTACTTTGTTATGGTTGTTTTCTGTGTAGTACATCAGGTTTTCAAGCTAAACAAAATAAAGAACGGAATAAGGATTTGCACACAAATGAACACAGCCCTGCTATTCAGACAGACATGATGGGACTGAACAGGTTCTGTGCTGCAAACCTTTCACAGTACATATTTGAACAGGTAGTCAGATCTGCAGCAAGTGCACATCCTTCAGACCGGTTTGGTGTGTGGCAAAATAACTCTTTTACAACACTACTGTAACTCCATAGTATCGTTAGACACTACCTTTTCTGTTACTACATTTGGCAAAAACAGAAAGAAATGCATTGTTAAGGAGCCATGTCTCACATTTTCTGTCAAGGTCATTTTAGAGTTTTCTCCCTGTCTGTATAGAGAGTTTAAACCCTCCCTTGGGACAATCTAACCAGGTTAGAAGTTGGTTTGTCTTCAATACCATCATACTCTTAAATCCTCTGGGTAAAAGTGATGATTAGTCTTGATTGTTGCTTGTTCGGGTGCAGGTGACAATGGCCTGATGTGCTCCAAGTTTACTGTTCGACTGTCACTTTTACACAATGTTTTTATGATCCTGAGGACATTATTGCACACATTTTACATAAAGTTCTGTGAAAAAGTAAGCAAGGAAATTGCTGACCTTTTGACATATTTGGATAAGCAAACATTTGAAACGGAAACGGTGCCGACAGATGAAGGGTAACATAGTCACGAAAAACACGCAGAAAATTGACACTTTGTGATCATTTTCATTAATTAAAAAACAGATGAGTCACATGGAAAAGTAAGTCCACTCCTACATACATGGAAGCTGTCTTAATGAAACCTCTGACATGCAGGATCTGGTATTTTCTTTGCAGTTAAAGTGTTTGGTGTCAACATGCCAAGATCCAAAGAGCTCTCTACGTCCATCAAAAAAAAAAAAAAAAGTTTTGGATGCCTATGAGTTTGGAAAGAGATGTAAAAAGTTCTCCAAATTGTTTGCAGTAAATCATTCCACTTGTAGAAAATCATCTACAAGGGGTGTAGATTTCATTTGACTGCCAATTTGTGCAAGCCTGGCCAACCCAGCAAGCGCACGAGCAGACCATGTGATGCAGAAAGAAGTCTAAAAAAAAAACCCCAAGTTTCATCACAGGATCTTTAGGTAATTCTGCAGCTGTTTGGTGTCAAAGTGCACGTGTGTGCAATTAGAAAGAAATTGCACAAATTTGACCTGCATGCCAGGAAGAAGCTGTTCAGAAAGAAAACTGCAGCAAAACTAAAGCGTGTCAGTACATATACAAGGAAAAACCTGGACTTCTGGAATAACGTGCTCTGGACAGATGAAGCAATAATACAGTTGTTTTGATACAGTAGCAGTGGACATGTCGCATGGTTCAGACCAAAGACAGCTTTTCAGGAGAAGAACCTCATACCAGCTGTGAAGCACAGCGGCAGAAATGTTGTGGTTAGCAGTTGCTTCACTGTCTAAATTATGCATCATATTAGAGACTGCTTGAAGATAAGGTGAGGGATTCTGTCTAAAAAAAAGTTGAAGCTGTACCTTTCAAAGGGATGTTGATTCTAATCAAACTGACAAATCCACCAAGAAATGTCTCAGAAAGAAGAAATGAAGAGCTATAGAGTGGGATAGTTAAAGATTTTGACGAGATTTGAATCCCATAGAAATGTTTTGTAGGAATTTGAATGTGCAGTACATGCAACATCTTGCAACTAAAGGATTTTTGCATTGAAGATTGTTAGAAATAAATATCTCTGCTAAAGGGGGCAATACGAGCTTTTTTGGCAGAGCCTGTACTTCCTTCCCCCCCAAAAGTACAGTACCTATTGAACATTTTGTTGAACAAAAAAGCATATTTTTACACCATCCAAATCTGTAGGCAGTGTATGAAAGAGAATATAGTGTTTGCATGTCCAAATATGTCAAAAAATGTCAACAACTCCCAAGTGAAATACTTGCTTTTCACATGATTTACATCAGTTTACACATTTATTAGTTGCACAATGAGGTTAAACTGTACAGTCACTTTGCTCTATTGAGTTGTAGTTTTGTGCTGTGATCTTAAAAGGGGACTGAGACTAAATTAATTTGCGATCTAGGTTTTACATGTCAGGCATGTTTAAATCAAGACGACATCAAGTCCTGTACAAACTGTCTGCAACACCGACATAGACGAGCTGTCAGATTTAACACTACAGCATGAATACTGCAATATGTTACAAATAATCACATACTAGTACTGTTTTTGGACAAAGAAAGAAGAAAATGTGAGGCAAAAGAATAACAAGAAACTACCAGATGATAGAAAGCCTCTTGACTGCTCTTTAGGAATTAATCATTTTTTCGCAGCTCATCTAAATATGTCATTTTGATTCAGTTTCATAGGCTTACAGGATACATGAGTCCAAACCATATAGGCTCACACTTTTACCAGTAGGGGGAGTCTGAACCTCACTAGATGCTGCTGTTCCAACTTAATGGCCTGATAATGAGGGCTAAAGATATGAATCCATCTGCATGTGTGTGTGTGCGGATCACGAGAGATTGCGTTAAGCTATAAAGACAGTGTTTACTCCCATGATAAAAATGTCATCAAATGTTCAGTCATTAAACTGAGACGGCAGAGCAGTGCTTTTATGCGTCTCCACAGACATTCAGTTGACTAAATACTGAATATTGCTTCCTGGGGTGTGATGGTGTGGAGGTCCACTCACTCCATGAAGTTTTTTGTTTTCTGCTTGTGTTTTTTATGGGAAGTCATCAGTATATTTACATCTTTTTTTTTTTTACTGTAATGGCACTCAGCACACACATACACACCAGTAACGTAGGGAGAGGCAAGTAGACGGTACCTTCAGGTTCCTGTGAACTATGTTGAGGGAGTGCAAGTACGCCACAGCTTCAAGGACTTGTCTGATGACATTGGAAGCATCTCTTTCAGTGTAATTCCCTTGGTCCAGAATCCAGTCGAATACATCTCCTCCCGTGGCGCTGCGTGCACGCAGATGGAAACATCAGTACACACGATGCCAGATACGCTCGTTGTCAACACTGTAAATCACTTTAAGCTTTTTCGTAATTCAGTTATCGTGTCCATTAGTAAGGCTAAGTGCTTTGCTTCTGCTGGCCTAAAGCTAGCAACGTTGAGCAATTAAAACTTACTGTATCGGTCATTACTCTGAAAGACTTGGTTAACTGTGGAGATAAATGATGGAAGTGATCATCGCATATTGCCCTCAGCACTATCGGGGGCAATATGTGAGCTATACATAAAGAGGCCCGTGCACACGGGAATGACTGCATCCCCTTTGAGCGCAGTTTGTCTCTCTATATACGTCAATACCACAACAGAAATACTTTGTCCACTCAGCTTGGGCCGCTGTTATTGCTTTCAAATGAATGTGGAAATGTTGAAATGCACAAGTCACAAGTGATGCAGACCGGGTGGGTTCTTGTGTATCGATCCAAGCTCTCCGTAGAGACTCCGGCGTAGCAAAGCAGTGCTTCAGGAGCACAGCGTAATGTTGAGTGTTACTAAGAGCAAATATCTCATCAAATCTAACACCTTCCCCTGTTGCTGAGGGGAGCAACTGAGCACACAGTAATAAGTGGAGAGACTCAGCCCCTACCCTCGAGCTGATGGAGATCTGTGTGTGTGTGTGTGTATGTGTGTGTGTGTGTTTGGCCAAAAGAAAGCACAAACAGGACACACACACTTAAATACACATAGTCAAGAATGTTTACGAAAGAAAACCAAAGAATGAAGAAAGGTAAAAGAAACACTCACAGTTCCTGGATGATGAAGTATTCTTTCCGAGTCTCAAATGTATCTATCAGCTGAAGGATGTTTGGATGGTTGACCCTGGAACAACCAAAAAAAGAAGGAGTCACACACTGTAGGGTCTCACATACAAGTGAAGGGTGCTGACAAATCTCTCTTCTGGCTTTAAAGAAATCTTATACTCAAGAAAAACTGTGACTCTTCTAAGAATGGTAGATCTCTTGAAGACAGTGCAAAGCAGAAGTTACAAACACCTTCTTAACCAGCGCTAACGCATGATTCGTGTTATTTGAAATCTCCAATAACCAAACATTCTCTCATTCTCCTTCTCTACGCCTTTCTCCACTGCTTCAAGCACACATCCATCTGTTCACAGACTGATTGCGTACAGTTTCAGGATCATGATTTCGTTCTTGGCAGCCTTGCGGACTTTCCTGCCGTCTTTCTTGAGGAATTTCTTGCAGACAAACACCTTGTCTGTTTGTCTGTCCTTAGCCAGGCACAGCTCGCAGAACTCCTTCCTACGCAGTTAGAAAAGAAAAAAAGAGACAGAAAGACAGACAAGCTGAGAGAGGCAGAACATTTAAATATAATGCTGGAAAAAAGGATGAAAGTTGTGGCCAGAGTTAGAGCACGTAAAAATGTCTTTGGCTGTTGCTCATCACATCTGAGAATAGGGACCGAAAGAGACAAAGCACGACATTCAAATTAGGGAGACAAAGTGCACTGGCTGTTTTGGTGAAATACGGTAAAAGAATTTAATTGGGAGATGAGTCGTAGGGTAGAATAAAAGGGTTGTAAATAAAGTGTCTGAAAAGGGTCTATTGTTGCCATCAGCTGAGCAGGTTTTGAGCCTTTGGGGCTTACAGCACTTCACACAAATGGATTTTAAAAGGCAGTGTGATGCAAAATTAAACTGCAATGTTTCATACTGAATCTTTAATATCTAATACATCGCATCGCAGTAAATTTTCCTGTTCTCGTTTCTTTTCTTGCTTGCTTTTATTTTCACATGAAATGATTCTAATAAACAGATAATAATACATCCATTTAACCTCGTGTAAAGGTGCATTCAGAATACAAAAAAAGGAACACCTTTTACTGTCTTGTTCTAATAAACTGCGACAAAGACGAGCTTGAACTTAATTCTGACTTAATGTGTTTTTAAGTTTGTGTGTCCCTGTGTGTGCGTGTTATATAAAAGATGAGCAGAAATCTCTGAGGCCAGATGTTGATGTTGCCATATGGCCTCTTACCCTGATTGGTATTTGTGTGTCCATATGTGTGCGTTTTCAGTGTGTCAAGGCGAGGTGTGCCGGAGGAGAAAATGGATAGTTTTCAGCCAGTTAAGCAGCAGGGTGATTTTCACAGATCTTTGAAAATCTGTCCAAATATATTTCTTTCCAGGCATGTCAGAAAACATTTAGACTGAATAAATTATAGACTTTGAACAATGTGTGTGTTTAATGAACTGTCATGATCAAAAATGTTCTGACAATTGGTTGGCTGCAACTGAAAAAAATGTGTCTCTAGTCTGTTACACGCTAGCCTCATGCTATTACCTTCTGTCACTCCCGCAGTGAAAGTGTTTGAAATGCCAAAGCAAATCTGCAGTGAAAACGTTCAATTTGAAATAATTCATGAGGGGAATAAAAACTATTTGGCATTACTGAAATGTGCCCATAAATTCGACATGGGAGAGTAGGGAATAAGGGAACAGAAATCCACGCATAAAGCTTTATGGGACTTACGCTCGGAGGACTTGTCCAATCTCATATTTGTCCGTGACATCAGACATGCTATCGTAAGTCCGCCCATCTCGCAGGGCAAGGCACCCAAATGGCATGACGGCATTCACCTAACAAATGAAGAGAAAGACATCTCAATCATTGTGTTGCACGGCAGAAACAAAAATATAAATGGTTTCGATGACATCTTTAGGTAACAGACAGATAAAGGGATTGCAGAGAAGCATGGGCTCGCATGTTAAAGAGGACTAGTTAGTGATGAAATGTTATGAAAGCCTCCAGTGGTTGACGATGCCTCGGGAGTGATATTACTATTACTCCAGAAAATATATACTCTAAGTTGGAGAACCGCATAAACAGCTGAGGCAATTTCTGAACGAATCTGGATACTAGTGCTTCTGGCAGCCTGGTTGCGTGCCAGTGTTGTCAACAGATACTAAGCTACCCAGTAAGCTTCTCTCTCTACTCTGCTAAAGTCTACAGATTCTGTGCAACGTCTGTCAAGTTCAAGTCAAATTTTGTTTTTAAAGGGCAGCGTCCCTGCGTCCCTAAAGCAGCTGGCTTCTTTCGCAATCACTGCAGTCCTGAATAACACTGACAACACAGTTTTAATGACATAGATTTTTTTTATTTATTTCGGCAGCCTGTGTGTGTGTGTGTGTTAGTTTTTAATTCATCTTCTGATCTAGATCAGTAGTTTGTGACCTTTTAAACTTGCCGTCACTCACTTGAAATTTCTCATTTCACCTCACAGTAACTCCCACTTCTAGCACTGCATGCGCTGTAAATACACTGTTTGTAATCATTGGAATGGGGGATGCTTTTCCCTTATATGTATGTATTTCACAATCGCATTCCACCCGAAAATAGCGTGTGACCCCCACAGGAGGTCCCAAACGCCCAGGTAGAAAATCAAGGTTCTAGAAAGTGAATCAGCAATCAATATAGCATCTCACCACAGTCCTCAGGCAATCCTCACCCACATCTTTTAAACACTCCTTCCACTGTAGGAGACAGATTCCCTGGAAGCTTCGCTCATCCATCCTCAGTGTCCTTCTCCTCCTCTTAACGCCTGACTTAACCATTTCCTGTTGGACATTTCATTTCTATCGCAAAGTTTATCTTCTGCCTCTGTGGGGCTCGGGGCCACATCAAGAGAAGTCTGCCCAAAGTTAAGAAATGATGCGATAAGAGGGAATGGGGCATTTGAGAGGGAACTCTGATTAATGTGAGCGATTCTAGAGAGAGCTAGCAACGCTTTGAGGACATGCGTGTGCTGTGTGTAAGCGAGGCAGAAAGGGAACTGAGAAAAATAGAGAATATGAATTAAGGACTAAGAACAGAAAGACAAGAGAAATCCTCAGAGGTAAAGATATTGCGCGAGTGCTAATTTAGGATTAAGGAATGTATCAGCGATGTAAAATCCTCGTTTTGTGTGTGAATGTGGGAGTGTGTGAGCGTAGCACCGCCGCTGTAGATGGTAGGGCCAGAGGTGCTTCTGGCCGACAGTGGAGGAGGGGCCGGAGAGTACTGTGTAATCCCAGTGCTGGCCCTAATCTCTAATCTGTACCCCTAATCCAGAGTGCATGGATACACTGTGTGATTGCATGTGTGTGCGCGCATGCATATATGAGCATGCGTCTGAGCAAATGCAAAGGTCGACGCCACATGTGCAGATATGAGTTTGAGCAGAAGGGCGCGTGCTGGCGTGTACATGTGTTCCCATACGCGCGTCCTTGTGTGAGTGCAAATGCCCCCGCTGCGATGGTGTGGTGGGGAATTCAGCGGTGGATTGGAAAGGCCCACTTTTGCCAGAAGATTACGTAAGAACGACAACATTCCCATGACAAGGTCCAGGACAGTGAAGGTGAAGCTGGGCTTGATGTGATCGGAGCGCATCAATCCCTGTGGGAACAAAGTGTACCCACTGAAATAAAGTAACAACTACCGAGCACAAAATGTCATTTTGTCAGTTAGGGTCACCGAACAGGCTCGCCAGTAACTTTTGAGATACTAACTTTTAAATAATTTTTTTTTTTGGTGTTTGCCTGCTCTTCAAGTCTGATTTTGAAGTGCGATGTCTTCAAAACAGCTGTTTCTTCAAACAAACAAACAACACGAGGTGCTTGCTGGAGCTACTTAAAAATCAGCTTCAGCCCTCACACCGGAATCAACTCTCTCCAAACTTTCCCTCCTGTTTTATCTGCAGTCGTTATAGGTTCCTCTCCGTCAAATACGAACTCCCAGAAGGCTTGAAAGGTGGACGTCTTCATAAGGAATAGTCGACAACCGCCCGTGTTTTAGGTACGAAGAGCGTTAATCAGTTTGTTGTCTGTCCTTTCTTGTAGAGCTACAGTTTGCCTTTTTTCTCTACTTGTGCCAACGGAGATTGTTTCTCCAACAAAAAAAACAAAAAAAACCTCAGATGCCATAAAAAAACACATCGTACCTGCAGAATACTGAGTCAGTACGGGCCTTGAAGTTTGACGAAGAGTAGGAGGAGATATGGGAGGATTTGAGAAGAAAGGAGATGAGAGGGGGAAGGAGTGGAAAAGATGGGAGATGAGGAGAAAAGAGGTGAGAAAAGACGGGAACAGAAAGGCAAGGAGAAGAGCACACACGGTGACTAAGTGAAAAGGTGGATGGAGAGAATAGTGTACATGAGAACAGAACAAAGTGTAAAACACAGAACTGCAGAGGCAGATTGAGAGTACCTATCAACCTCACAGCTTCGCAACTATGTGCGACTGAATGTTTGCACAGGTGTGTGTGTGTGTGTGTACATGTGGGTGCAAGTGAGTGTGTGTTAACAGGCTTTGTGTGATAATGCATTGTGTGACTCATTGTGTTTGATGAGGGTATGAAAGGCTGTCCCCAATGTCGTAAAGCACTCGAAGGCATGCTGACGGAGCAGACTCTCTGCTACACAAACTCACTGCACACATCCTGAATATCGGCCAGATTTTGGCATGCGCAACAATATTAGTGTTAGATAGTAAGTACTGCAGCGCAATACAACGTTTCAGCCATCACTGATCTCCCAGCAGTAGGTGTTACTTTGCACCTACTTTGAACCGGACCGTGTTTTGTGTGCTTTGACATTTCAGTATAGCAGGAATTTTCACAGTTTAAATTTAAAATGTTGTGCTTATGGATTCTATGTGCTGTCGTTGTTTACTTGTTTGTTTTAAAGGTGCAGTCGACAGCTTCCCACGTGTTCGTACAGGATGACTGAGCATCCAGTGTCATGTTTGTGTAGCTGTTTTACACCACTCTGATGGGTACGCGGTGATATTGTCACCAGCTGACCTCTTAACTGGAATGTGAACACGACATTTTCTGAAATGATGCAGTCAGGCTGCATACTGGAGTCTCGTATGAGCTTAGCAGTACAGTGCTTAGTCAAATTTATCATTTCAAGACAAACCTGTATCTTGTCATTTGCAAAGCAGTCCATTGGGGCTCTCTCCATACTTTGTTTATTTGATCAAAGACTGAATAGTTGTAAGATTTCTATCATTCAGCTGAAATCTGGGATTGTTTAAAGGATGCACTGTAGGTGAGGAGGGTTTGTGACAACATTCAGAAAATTAATTTCTGCATTTTTGTCATCCCATTATGATTAATATGTGTGATGGATGTCAAACGTCAGTGTGTCGGTACCACATGTTTGTTTACTTATTGTGGAACTCATTAGATCCTATAAAGTATCACACCTAGATGCTCACATTGCACCTGACTGCAAAAAAGAGCTTAAAATAACTGACATGATACACAGCTGAAAAAAAGGGATTATATGGATATTCATTTGTTTAAGTTTGTCTTTTAAATTCGATACCTGTGTGCGCTGTTTTACATAAGGAGTAGGAATGTAGGGAATGCAGTACGAAGACCGAGGAAAACGATGTCGCTCGCTGCACATTTTGCTCGTGGCTTTGAAAGGCACACCCATTAGCACACACAGGCGCGCACAAACTCAGGTGTGAAAGCGCACCGAGCTATCCGAGACATCACACTTTATCTTCGGCACCTTAATTCAAATTGTTTGTGCGCGTCTCTGCATCTGTGGGTGTCTGTGTGCTTGTTCACAAGTGTTGTGCTTAGGCTGCAGCAAAAGCTCAAAAATGAATCAAATGGAATAAAATATCTTTTTATCAGCTCAGAGGGGAAGTGTTTCAGAGGCTCTTGGCGTCAAGGTTATTCTAAGAAAATCTGCTATTTACTGGCATTCATCTCTTTAGCCAGCCTATCCTATTAAGCCTGTGCTCGGTCCAACTCTTAGGGGGAGGGAAAAAAAAAAGGAAAGAAAAATAACCTTCGTTTCTTATCTGTATATCTGCATTTTGCAGCTCATAGCTGAACGCAAACAGAATGACATATTGACAAAAAGCAGTGTTACGGTAGGTCTTGTGTGACAAGCTGCTGTGACTAGCTTAGCATTTGATGTGCCTCCATTTCAGAAAGCTGCGAATGATTGCAAATGCATGCTATGTAAATATTTCACCCGCTGCTGTGTGAGGCTGCTCGAGTCTTTTTTGTGCTGTCAGTCAAGCGGTTAGTTGTGTCAGTGTGTCCTTGTCATTTCCAGACAGATGCTGCACAGCAAAGCTTCTGAATCAACGGCGCCGTCATTATCAGCATCGCCGCAAATCCTGATATCCGCACACACACACACGTGATTATGCCGCTCTTGTTTAGTCAGGAGGTGACACTAGATCCACGGTATGATAACAGATGATGCCAAGAGGTGTGAGTGTGTGTTTGGAAAGTATATTAACAACTGTGTCAATGTTTGCCTGAGGAGAAGAGTTACTTCTGTCTGTGTGAGCAAGAGATGGCATGTCAGGCTGCATGTGAGCACTAACCACCTGAGCTGCACACATGCACAGAGACATGTTATACAGTTCAGTGCACTTCATGACTGTCCTTACGTGGAAGAGAAGCACCACTGCATATATCGGTCCCTCATTAGTGCTTGAAATGCCTTTATCATGGCAGCGGAGACAGGTGTGTCTTCCTACAGGAATAAATCCCCTAACCAGACACCAAGATCATTTCATTTGAAAGCCGTCTTTGTCCTTCCCTGCCTTCTCTGCTT